TCTGTATGCTCGCTCAGTTCTATGTTACACTCACTGCTTCCCATCTGAAGCTGCAGGGCAATCAGAAGTACTGATTTAAAAATTCATACTGAATGTTTTTTGATTTAGGGCATATTTTGTGAGAATTTATAAGAATGTTCACAACTGAAATTGTTTAAAGCATTTTAGATGCCAAAGTGGGCAATGTAAGGCTAAGACAGCTCCACAGTTGTTACAGAGGTATACAGGTTGCACATGAAATTTGATTTCTACATCTGAATGTTAATAGCCTTCAGAAGTCTTTGCTGCACTACTGAAACTAGTATTGAAGGCTTTATTTCTGTGGAAATGTTTCTATTAAAAAAAACTCATTACACATCCATACATAATATATTACAAAACAGAAACCAAATCAGTGTTTATAGCCAACCTGATGTAAGTTAATGAAGTTCCACACAACCTTGAAGTTCAGCAGGTTTGAAACTGAAAATTCTGATCTGCTATAGGAGCCTAAAAGTGATGGAGTCTCCAAAAAAGATACAGCAATGGGTGAGGGGCTGTACCAAAAGCGAGGTGACTGTACTGACCTATTTGGGTATTAAGTTGATCTCTATCAACCTCTTCTAAATAAACATCATTAAAAATCCAAATAAATTGGGGGAAAATAGGTGTTCATCTTAGCCATAACAAATATCCAAGCTACACTGAACTACTTTTGTATAGGAGCTCATACTTTGCATTCACCTACCATGGTAAGGTATTTACTTGGAGCATGTGCCGTAGAATCTGCTTCAGTGTTATTAAATACTATTAGTACGACAGAAGTATGTGCTAAGGTTTTAGATGGCAGTAGCAAAAGCTGACAAGAGCTGATTTTTTTTCTCTACAAATATTTTTGTAGTCTTGATTCATACAGGAGCCTCCTCTGCTCCTCCACAGAGTTAATCAAATTATTCGTTGTAAAAACAACAACTCCACAAATGTGCTCCTCTTGTTACCGCTCAGGCACGGCCAAGTTCTCTTCCAGGATTCATAAAAATTTCCTAGGAATTTTATGCAGCTAAATATCATCTTTTGTGTTCCTCACTGACTGTGCTCTTCAGTCCACGTCACGTTTTGTTCCCGATACAAAACTGATGTCACTTTTTCAGTCCCTGGTTCGATGCAGTGCAGCGCTTGCCTTGCATTTCTTCAGTGCACTGCTAGGCTGACCTCACATTTTGAATATTCCTTTTAATCCCCACGTAGACCATCAGACAAAGCTGTTGTACTAAAACTTCAAAGCAATTTAATTTTGTTAATAATGTGAATTAAATGATCCCATTGATTAAAGTAGTAGAAATTAAATCTCATCCAAAAGAAAAGTGATAAAGTATGCTATCTCCATTCACAGGAATGCTTAAAATCCTTTTATTATGAGGCTTGCCATTTTCTCAGTCCAGCTAGCAGGACAGCCTAAGAAGAAATCTGTAACTAAGTAAGAGTATCAGTGGCATTCATCAAGATTGAAATCAAAGCCTCTGATTATTCATTCTTCTGTTGATGGTATTATTGCTCATGGAAAAATTTAATATGGGATTGTCTCTGATTAAATCTTTGTTTAAGTGCTGCTTAAAAAGGCATTGCTAATTTTCTCAATAGATTTTACCAATGAACACCACTTTCTGCAAATCCTCTGTCATAAAACTGAAAAAGTGTTGATAAGTCCCAAAGATTGCTCCTGTTTTCTATCACAGCTCAGCTATCGTGTGATCTTTCAATATATGACATTTATTCTCCAAAAGGTTTTTTTTTTAAGGAGAAGAATATGACATGGCAAGATTATATCAAGTATGTTTTACTCTATCTTGGTATGGAGAATAGCTTTGAAAACAGTTCAGACTTTCAGTGCCAGCATTAAAGATGCTGGCCAATCTGAATGTGTGCAAAAGCTGTTGGGAGGCTTTGGACAACAAAACTCACAATGTCAAAAGACAATAGTTAGCATTCAGCACTGTTATCAGAGAAGCTCTAGATAGTTTATTACATGTTGATGGTATTGGTTATAGCTTGAGGCACTGATAGCATAAATGGAGTGTTTTAATTAGTCAGAGTGCTTGATTAGCTTTTCTGTTTTAAGGAGATAAAGAAGCTTCTTAAAGAAGTCTGCCCCAGAAACAATTTTTATATTTTAATAATGAGAAATAGTTTAACAATAATTTAATGTTTTAATAGGAAATAATAAACTTGCCACACATCTCCCTTGCATCGATCATAAATCCACATACCTCTGCCTCCCTTTGGAACCACCAAAATTCCATGCTCTTACACTAGCCCCTACTAGAACAAATAATAACACATCAACTGATCCAGATGCCTCAAAAGAAATATAAAAGAGGAAAGTGAGCAACTTATTTACACCAGAATTAAATAACTGAAGAACTAAATAAAGGACAAAACCATCCAGCTAGTGACAAATCATCCCGCCTCTGATTTCTCAGTCTTACTCTTTCAGGAGGACCCTGCAGAGATGGGAGTATTAAGAACTGTGAATTTAGGAGAGGTACTGGTTTAATGGCACACCCTTCCTCCTTCTGTGTTCTGTGAGTGAAAGGTCTCTGTCTTTTCCTTTGGAGATAACTACCTTATTATCTTTCTTTCCTTCCTACCAATATCCTCTCTGATTTCCTACTGGTACCTACTGCCTTTTTTTCTTTAGAAATAATCTGGAATATATTTTATGTGAAAAACATGTATCTCTAAACTCTTCCAAACCTGTAGAACTGTGTATATGCTCTAATGCTTCTTTACTTTTCTAACTACATTTGTTAATCAGACTGAGACCAAGCACCATCCTTCTCTACCATCCCACTGGATATCATGTGCATTTAATTAACTGCACCTGAAAGCTTTCAAAGCTTTGGTGTAAATGAAGAATCTTTGGGTGTATGCATGGAATACAGAAACACAGTGACAGAGAAAGCTAATAATGAGATCTCTGGGCAAGCATATTGTGGGGATGAGTTGTACCAGCTCTCATTGGCAGAGCAGCAGAGGGGGAATGGCTGGAAGTTGGACATATATGTGAAAACAGAATGATGGGATTAAAAAAAATGTGAAGTATGTTTTTGACATATTGAAATGATGGAAAAATCTGTATCTTTTCCTGTAAATCTCCTATACTACTTGCTGGATTTCTACACCAGCAGTTCTGTTTCCTGAGGCAGAAAATTAGTTTTTTCCATTTTGACTGCTAACTGATAGGTGGTTGTCCCCAAATTCACCCCAGATGATGTGTGCGTGCCAGCAGGAGATGGAGTGGAATCAACAGCAAGTCCAGAAGTAGCAGAAAAACTAACAACAACCAACAGAAAAGCAACTGGCATGTTTTAGCAATTACAGCACATGCCTAAGCCTTTCCAGATCTCTCTGTCAGAAACAAATCTTACGTGAGATCTTCAAGGCTTTTCAGAAAGTAGAAGTACATCACCTGTTTTCTTGGTGTTGGACAATTGATACAGCCAGGCAGTGTAAAGAAATCTGTCAAGCTTTGGGAAAATTCATCCTTTCTAGAGGAATCCCTGGAAGCTGAAGTTACTTGCACAGCCCGAGCTGATCTTTCTGGCCTCCAGCACAAGTTGGATGCAAAATGTTCTTGTACCAGCTGTTGGAACAGCCATGGCCAGACAAACTGAATTAACTCCAAACTAACTTAACTCAATAGAGCTGCTCAGTTCCACCAGCATGAAGCAAACACAGGGGAATTTAATGACCCCTTTCCCATCTATTTCCGTTGCCTTGCAGTGAAATACATTGGTCAAAAAGGATGGATCTGGTTCCATCAGAATGAGATGATTTACTGAGGTCCCTTGAATTCCATCTCAAATGTTAAATTTCAATCACTGAGTTTAGTTAATGGTGATGTGGAAGCCTGAATGTGTTACAGCTTTTAACTGTTGAGCAGGAGAGATGGGAACATAATGAAACATCAGCTATGCACAGCGTACAGAGATTAGCTTCTTATATGAAAAGAACTGTGAGACGTGGTCAGCTGCAGGATTGCCTGAACTTTGTGCCTTGGATGTGTCCCTCCAGGGCTGCGTTTCTCTGCCTCTATTACTTGAATGAAATCTCACACATGTGCTTCCTATCCACTTTCTCAGTGGAAATGTCTACCTTTCAGCTTGCAATAAAAAGCAATAGCAATAACAATAAAAAGGACTGTTCTGTTTTCCTTTTTTGAGCTGTAACAATCAAAGGCAGTGTATCATAAAGTGGCATATCGGAAATGAACACTGAACTTTGCATCAATGTATGATAATGCGAAAATCATTTTTAAAAGCTGTCACAAAGTAGTGTTCAGCAGAGGCATAAACTGCCTATAAAATTAAATAGGTGAAGAAGTCCCACAGTCTCTCGTCTATGATAAAGATTACATCAAAACTTTTTTCTTCCTGGAAGCAACACAGATTTATGACAGCTGTGTTCTCTGTCTTATGGTCAACTAGAACTATGTTATGGTCAATAACAAATTTTTAACTATAACATGTAACAAATTCTATAGCACTAACACTTGCTGGGTCACCCAGTTGGACCAGATGATCTTAGTGGTCTTTTCCACCATGATGATCCTATGCTTCTGTGATTCTATGATGCTATAGAGGGGCGCCAAGCACTGCCAAATCAATGGTAACCAAACACAGCTCTTGCATTGCCATTAAGCCTCTTTCCCCAGGATTTTTGGTTGACCTCTACAGTGTCATCAAACACAGGTGGCTTCTCCCAGGTCTGTTCCGCAGCAAAGGACTTCAATGAGTCCCATAAGCTTTCAGAGCACAGCTCTGGGGATTATGGATCACACCTTTTGTTGAGAGAGTAATACCAGCTGAAGTTTTTCAGTGTGAAAGGTGAAAATGCAAAGGAAGGAAGGAAGCCTTAGCTTTTTAAATAGTGTTAGCTGTAAACTATATTTTTATAATACTAAAATCACAAATAGCAACACAAACTGTGCTTTTAGTTCTGATTTGGTTTGTGTTTTTCAGAGACTGGCTGGATGCATTCAGTCCCCCCATCACTCCTGCAAGCCAGAAATTGGAAGAGCACATAAAATCTTCACCAAATCAGAGTATTCCAGGTAGGAATTTGTGAAGATAGTGGATCTGGGTAGAAAACCATTTCTGAATGCTGTTCCTGTAGAGCTGGTTCTGCTTTCCAGTAGTTGGTTTTTTTATACTGCTACCTTTTGAGTTCAGCATCACTTATTATTTTCAGTTCAAACTAGCAGAGTTTTCCATGCCTCTGATAGAAGAATAACTTTTGCAGGTATAAATTCTTAGCATTCTGGTTGAATATAGATTCATCCCATTAAAAAATACATCTTACTTGTTTAAAATCACGGATTGATGATAGTGAATATGGGAAAAAAAAAAAAGAAAGAATGCTAGGACTAAAGTTGACGTTCACAAGAACCAGAACAGTTACATATGTGGCACTTGTCTTCTGATTAAAAAAATAAATAAATATAGCCTTAAATGAAACCTCAGCGCAGTTTCCAAAGGAAGAAATTGCTGAGTTACCATCTCAAGGGCTGCAGGTTTTTTTCTTCATAACGGCATTTGTTTAGAGAATGACAAAGAACTCTGTGGAAACTGGAAAGTTGGCAGCAACAGAATAAAACATCTATCTTGTTTTCTTCAAACCCTCTTTTTTTCTTACTTATGCGTTAGGAAATAGGGTAGATACCTACATTTTTCTTCAAGTCCAGGGAATTCAATGTGATATCTCATAAATCTGACCTGTGTATTTTGATTGCCTGAGGATGAAGATGTCTGAGTGATTTACAGTCTAGAATAGATTATGGCCCCCAAATTGGCCATCTTTTCATAGATGTGTATTTGTAATTGTTTATGACAGCAAAACAGAACTCTGCTGTCAGGAGGGACCTTGCTTTGAAGAATCAAATAATATGTTTTGTTAAGAGTCCTAAATAAGCCCAAGAGAATTGGACAGTAATCCTTGAGTTAAAGACGCGTTGGATATAAATTTGTGAAAGGTCTCTGAGAGGGTCTTGATGTGGATTGATGTCTTGATGTCTGGATCATGAAATCCAAGGCTTGCTGCAGTAAAGCTTGAATCTCTGTAAATTTTAACATTTGGATTGATTGTCTCTAAAAAGCTAATAAAGCTATGGATGCATCTGAGAAATGGCTGGATTTCTCCTGCTAATTCACACCATTTTTCAATTTTGTTGTTTCCGATATTGCAAGGTCTCTTATATGATTGTTTTGTTTTGTTTTGCTTTTGTTTTAACATCAGACACCAGACATTAAAATGCATTTCTAAGAAGTCCCACAGTTCATTCGTTACGAGCAGTTAGGATGCCACACTGCCTTCCTCTACTTAAGGCGAATTTTAAGACATCTATATTTACAACTTATCTGAAAATATTAATTGGGGTATATACCTTTGCATACATAGTTAAAGGTCCTGTCTCAGGATAACACTATATCTTTTAGTCTTGCTTTGGTTTTTATTAGCCTTCCTACAGTGAAAAAGCTCATTGTATCAGAAAAGTCAATGTGAGCTCATTTATTGCAACAATATTGACTCTTCTGTAAGCTTGCTGGACTTATTTGTCACACGATTTCTTCAACCCATTAACGACAATGAAATATACTGAATATACTTTACCAGCTACCTTTAATGTGTCTATAACCAGCAATAACAAATACCCTACGAATGCTAACAAACTTGAGTGCTGTTGCTGTGAGACCAACGTGACAAGCAGCAAGTCTTCAAACAGAAATGTTTGTGCTGCTTAATTTTCTGATTTCCACGCGGAATATTTTAATAACACACAATTGGGTTCCTACAGTCCTTAGGAAAGGACTGACTGTCTTTGCTGGACTAAAGCAGACACTGAGGAAGACACCACTTAGGAGGACTTCAGTACGCTCTCAGTAAAGGTCCTGCTGCTGAACAGCCCTCTTGGGCTTTGTGAAGTCCAGCTGTTCAGCAAACTGAATGACATCATTTCACCTCAACTGAAGGCAAGTCTTCAGAAGTATACAAAAAAAAAAACAACTGAACTGCATTTATCTTGAAGGTCACGATTCAAAAGTCAGAAGATTATACAATTTAAAGAGAAATTATGTCACATTTGACAGAGAGGTATTTCCATGTGATTTTTCAAAGTGAATGAGAGTGATTTACTCTTACTTTCCATTCCTCACACAGGTGAAGATGACCTCAATGCTGAAGAAGACGAGGAAGTCCTGACTCTATTGTATGATCCGTGTCTGAACTGTTACTTTGACCCAAATTCTGGGAAGTACTATGAATTGGCATAGTCAGCTCAAAAGGGCACACTGTTCTGTATTCAGAATAGACTTATCTTTTAACTGTTTTTGAAGTGTGACTGGGCTGCATAATTTATCATGTAATTTAAATCTTGAAGTAACCAGTAGTTTTGCAAACAAATGAATATATTTTGTACATAGTGTCTTATTTTTATAGTTTCACATTAAGTTGTACTGCAGTGGAAAATCACGTAGCGTGGAGGTTCCGGTGGGTAAGACATTTATTTGTTAGTGTCATTTATTTCCAGCATTCAAAGCTTTTACGTGGGAATGAATGCAGGTGAATCAAGAGCCTTTGTGGTGGTCATCTCTAGCTTACGGTCTGACTCAAATAAAAAGAACTTTTTCCATTCATCATTTATTGGATTGCTTTGTACTTTCAGGATACACACTACAGCCCAAACAGACACGTTCAAAGGTGTCTATTTTGTCAGCTGCCTTTGTCATCAGAAACAAAAACGTAGGATGAGCTCTGGTACCAGCTGCCCTCTATTTCCTGCTGTAATTTGAGATGGCAGTAAGGAGTGATTGTTTCAACACTCAGAAATTGGAGCCTTGTTCCATGTAAAGGCAGGAAGGTGTATATATGATCCATACGCATGCAGTCCTTGCACGTTTAAATTAGTTTTTCTGTTATACTTTGCAACATAAGAACAAAACTTATGTATCCCATCCACATTGTCTTTCAGTGCAGTTTCCAGTGAGGGCCCCAGAGTTCCAACTTAGAGACTGAAATTGCGTGCATCACAGTGTGATTTCTTCCTGCTGTATGTATAATATCCATGTTGACCACGGAGCAAGGCTATGGAGATAGAGCAGACCATTCACAGCACTTCAAAATAAATGCAGCCCATGAAACTGTGCAGGGCAGGGGCTGCCTGTGGAAGAAGCAAAGCGTTTGGCTGTAATGGCATTAAGCTCACAGCAGCTTCGGAGTCCAGCAGTTCAGTATGTATCAGTTTTTTGGAAGAAGTTAAAGTGGATGTCAGCATCACATGGCAGAAGTGATCTATGGCCATTTCTGGCGATTCGTGCTCTGAGTTTCTACTTGATTATATCCAGTGCTGTTCCACAGTAATCATTTGCAAGTTGATTACTCAGTGAATTTTTAAGAATAATGTATTGGAATGTCATAAAGTGAGCTTACGAAGCTCACTGGTAAGTGATTTAAAATGTTATGTCTGTAAATTATTTGTAATTATGGATGCCAGTTAATGAATATCCAAGAATCAATTGAAAATGCAGCTGTTAATAGTGGTTTGGCACAGGATCAGACTGTGTATTTGGCTTCTGTGTCAGGTACAAACATATCACCACCAATTGATTCGAGTAGCACTGAAATCCACAGGAAGACAGATACTGTGTGGAGATAATTTACTTACCCTGCCTTAGCCAGTTTATCCCAGAAAGATTTATATCTGTTCTTGCTAATGCCATAATCAGTTTAAGAGTTCAATGAAATCATAATTTTGCCCTTCAAAAATCAGATCCTGGCTCACACACGCTTGTATGTACACAACTGCTTTCTGCTTAGCATTGCTTGTTGTATGTCCTCAGCTGCCATGTGAGCTCTGTGACGCCAAACGGAGCACCTCTGTCCCAAAGCGCCCCCCCCTCAGGACAGCAGCATTGCCCTTTCCCCTCTGCTGCCATGTTTACAAGGCAAGAAGACATGAGAAGTACTCCTTATTATTCATGTATCCTTCAGACATGAGACACTCAGTTTTGGTGCATCTTGAAACTTTGGGTCAGATGGCAAGACTGCACAGGCTGCAGAATCCGTGCGAGTGTTTTTGCATAATGCATTTCACACTCAATTTTTTTTCCACTGCGTTTCTTTATATTAAAAAAGAGATTGTTTTTAAGCAATGAATTATGTGCAGAACAAAAAGACAATCCGGTCTGTCTTTCCTCTGTGGTACTTCTGATAATCACCACTTCTCTTGTGGTTACTATAGTAACTCGGCATCCTCAGCTGCCACCTTTTCTGGCACTTTGAAAAAAAATCTATTGAAATTCAGTTCCCTCACAAACTGAAAGCTTGGTTTCATGGCACCCACGGGAGTGTGTCAATGTAACAACAGTGCTTCTCGTTGGTTCTGGTTCCTGTTGAAGTTGCTGTTAGCAGCAGCACAGGAGCTCTCCCTCTGATGCTCTGGATCCCACTGCAGTCACTATGAGCAATGCCTCATCCACCTCCCCCAACCAGGAATAGTTTTGGGGTGCTTCTGCTCCATCGGGTGCCACAGTCCCATACAGCCATAAACAACAGGGCCAGGCTCCCAGCACCACTGTCACTGCACTGTAATGCTGCTGGGCTTCCAGCAACGCTTCCATTACACCGCTTGGGTTTTTTATCTATTAACAAGTTTATTATTGGATGATTGCGTGTTTTATCTTTGTGGGAGACCAGAAAAAACCTAGGTCACAAATTACAGGCGTCATTTCAGAGCACTGCATATTTATTAGGCCATCTGCTACCGCCGTGCTAAAGGCACAAACCTTCGCTCCAGCAATCTATTCGCAGCGACTGCCTTACCACCTGAGGTGGAAAATACTAAAGCTCTGGATGCATTTATTATCGCACTGAGTAATTTTATAATGTGTTCATACAGCTCAGAAAACATCCCGTGCAAGTGTTTGGCTGCTGCTTTCTCATCAGGAAGGCTCTCCAAAGAGGAATCCCATGGTGCCGTGGGTTTGTTGCATTGGGCACATGGTGGCACTGAGTTTTGTCATTCAACCCTGGGTCATCATAGAACCACAAAATCGTTTGAGTCAGAAGGGACCCCGAAAGGCCATCAGTCCAACCCCCCTGCAATGAGCAGGGACACCTACAGCTCCATCAGGTGCTCAGAGCCCGTCCAGCCTCACCTTGGCTGTACCCAGGGACTGGCTGGGAAAACCGTTATTCATTTCGAGATAATTTCAAAGCTCATGGATGATGATTATTCTCTGGAAATGTTTTTCCAATGGAGAGTTCAGTTTGCTGAGCGTTCCCTTCCCATTTCCAGTGCTGCTGTTTCCCATCCCCTGCATTAACACATTACCACTGAGAATGAATGGCTGCACTTCTGCTTTGTATCTTTCTTCCGTATTTTTGACAACTGTTTTTCATGCCTTGCATAATTCACTGCGACCCATGATAAAGTTAAGTGCATTCAAAGCCTGTGCATATTTAAGTTACTGCTTCTCCTTTGTGCAACAGCCTATAACCATATTTTAAAGCAGTTACAGTCTTTGTTACAGTCTTTTACTAAGCACACATAGTGGCACTTTTGTAACTGGGTTACTGAGCACACTTTAACGAGTCATGCAGCCCTCACAGACAATCACGTAAATCCTTCTTAATTCACAGTTTATTGACCACAGTGGTTCTGGATGAGCATCTGGCGCCAATGTCCCTCCTGTGGGCACCACACCACCTGCTGCCACGTCTCCATGGAAATTCCCAAAGTTCCTCTTGAAAAACCAAAGGGCGTGCTGCAGCCCTTCAGCACGTCTGCAGGAAAGCCAAGGTGTGAGGAGTGCAGAGTAACCCATGGGCAGGCAGCGACGCAGGCGAGGAATGTGTCAGGCAAGTTCGGCCACAATAAATACCTGCTTAGCAGGCAGAGGATGTTCAGTTCTAAATCAAATTGCATATGAAGAGTGGAAATTGCTGAGACTGGTATTTACCTGTGAAACCAAAATTACTTCGTGAAGAAAATAATTACAGACAGACTGTCTAAAAATCGGTTGTGAGTCCTTATTAAGCAGCTGAGACGGAGACACCGCTGTGAAGCACAGCGTTCAGAGCTACAGCCCACATTTTGTTCTGGTTGCATTGCAATGCCTTTCGAGTTTAAGGAGGTCTTCCTTAAGAAGTTTAAGGAGGTCCTTTTTTCCATGCAGTATTAATAAGTCAGCAACAAGGGAGAAACCCTATTACCAGAAAAGGCTGATGAGTTCAGGGAATTAGTGGGGGAAACATGAATATTATACTAAAAGCAGTTGCTTGTTGCCAATATCGAGGCACCAGTGAGGCAGCTGAGCTCAGTGTTGGCTCTGTCCTACAGGGACACATTCAGGGCCATGTCCCAGACTCCATCCTGCAAATGTGGAGCTTCAAGGAGAGCAGCTAAGGATCTTTTGCTGCAGCTCTCCTCCCTGACACCCATCCCTCATGATGTCTTAGAGTCATAGAATTAATAAGGTTGGAAAGACCACTAGGATCACCTTGTGCCACCATCAACCAACCCATCACCACCGTACCAAACTGTGTCACTCATTCAACATCTACCCTTCTCTTGAAAACCTCCAGGAAAGATGACTCCAATACTCCCAGGGCAACAGCCCTGACCACCCTTGTGCTCGCCTCTGGCTGCTCCAAGCAGTGAATGGTTTACAGACACACAGCATTCCAAGAGGTTTTCTGAGGCTGGGACTCTTTGCTCTTCCATCAGAAAGCAAAGCAGCACAGCCCTTTGCTCATCAAGCGCTCTTGTCTCAGCCCAGAGTAAAGGCTAAACAAACACATCTAAACAACTGAAAAGCACGTCAACATTCAACTTCAAAATAAAATGCAGTGAAGTGTGAAATTATACCTTTTATTCCATAAATCTCCAGCAACCTGCACAGCTCTGTAACTTGTATCACGCTTTAATATTGGCAGAGTTTAACACACCATGCAGACCCCATAAAGTAATTACATTTCATCTCAACAATGAAACAAAATCCCAGCTCATTCATCCCCCTCCATCTGAGGAAGGATTATAGACAATTCAGTGCATGTCGATTTTTCCTGGCGATAAATCCAAAGCAGGTCACCAACAAAATGGTAATGTGGCTTCCCCAGGCAGCTGATTTACAGGGAAAAATAGAGATATTGTTTGGTGTCCTTCAAGGCACTCTCACCCTGCTAAAACCCCTTTGCTTTCTGAAACTTCTTGAGTTATCCTCTACTTACAAGAAGCTTAAAAACATAAAACTTACTAAGAATCGACCATTTCCACGCTTTGCAATTGCTGATCTTTTGGGTTTTGTTGCTTTGGTTTTATGAGTTTTGTGCCAGATCCTCATTCAGCTTTTAAAGAGTTGCTTCATTTTGCAATAAATGAAGCGATTTGAGCAACAGTGGCAGAAAGACATCAGAAGGCACAGACACATTCACACCTCATGGCACCAGCCACTGCCTGGCCACCAATCCACCAAGGTCCCCTTGGGCCACCAGGCCTAGGCCAAGTATACAGCTGTTTGCCATGATGGAGGTGGCCACCAGGCACAGAACACCACAGCTACAAGGGAAGGCATGAAAGTGCCTTCTTTCTGCCATCCCAAAATCAGCCACTGGGAAGGCATGAA